GAATCATTCTGATAATTCTGTGACTAAAGTTACTTCCCATGCATGTGGACCTTTCATCCAGCAACAAGGACAATAGACTATTAAAATCAAAATGGAGCATGACCACAAAACACACAGATTAATATGAGATTCAGGCAGATGCCACATTTGAAGCATATACTTAAGAAACAGAACTACTACAAGCTGAATTTACACCTTTATTTCGTTTTATGGCAAGCTTACATGAAAGCACAGTTCACTAGTTCCAAGTCATCCCTCTGTCGGTGTTAGCATACAGCATCACTTTAAAAGACAAATCCCTCACATCCATATGGAACAGCTCTAACCAGCAGTATTAGAAAAAGGTTACACTAAAGCTCTGCGCTGAGCAATTCCAAACACCGCGCTTCAAACAAAAACTAAACATTACAAACATCTCCCCCCAGGTTTGCAAAGCAGCTCTACGCTCTCGCAGAGTCACTTCACCAGTTAGGGCAGAAGAGACCACTAAAGCTCAGCTCCCTGCCTGATGCACAGCTCCGCAGCATTAAGCTCTGCACAGGTAACCAACAGAATTCCCCACTGGTCTCATGCTCTGACCTAGAATACAAAGTATAAATGAGGGAGGTTATCAGTTTGCAGTTAATTTTTTTTTTGGCAGACACTGTTATGTTGTAATTGTTTTTATTGGAAGTTTTAACCTTCTGAAAGCACACCGAGTCCAATTTAGGAATTGGAAACCAATAAAAAGCTATGCCTCACAAACAAGTGCAGATTCCTTTAGACTCAAATACACCATTACTTAAGACAAAATTCTTGAGAAAAATAGCAGCGCTTCCTCTTGCGCTTAAACACACATCACTCTTCACTCAGATCTCAAAAAGCTAAAGAAAGGGGGCTGATATCGAAGTTCTCTACTTTAGAGGGAAGAGAACAAGTAATCTACGCAAAGTTACACTGCATGTCAGCGATGGGGTTGGGAACAGAACCACCGCACTCTCCAGACTACACCAATCCTTACAGCACACAGCCTATACCTAAGTGTCCTTTAAATATCCATTGCTACAGAGCAAAAAGAAACAAGGATTTATAGCCAGTTTGCTGACCATCTTAACGGTATATTGTTAACGGTCATATTTAAATGATTAAATGCCACACCAGCAATGGTTTCTAGTCAGAGCCTTTCTAATTATAAGCTTCTTGAAAACTAGACACACCCTGTGACTGTACTGTACACCTGTCTTCCTCAGGTGTAAGAAGATATTTTGCTTATTATCCTTTTGTGTACATCAGGACAGAACCATGCACACTACGCCTTGAGTCACTACGTTACAAAGCCAGTGAGAAGTACCCCATGCATGTCTCTCCGGGTGGCATACACACATCCTCTGCTCACACGGTGAGCGTAACCCTTCTGTTATCATCGTGAACAGCAGGTCAAACACCACAGCCTCCCACTATTGATCCTGCAGGCGTGCATGTCTATATAGATCCCATGGCTTTCAACCTTGCCCTGGAAGCTATGGTTAAGTTCAAATTTAGTAACTTACAACACATCCTAGTCTATTCATAGCCCCCTTACGTACCAGCTTCCTAGCTATGGGAGCTTTCTTTTTTCTGGCTGTGCCAAAATGTCCCTGTAAGAAGAAAAATAAGATGCAAGAAGAGGACCATAGGCAAAAGACTACTTCAAGACGACATAAATTGATTTCTGTGCTGAAGGGGAACACGGTCTATCAGAATCAACAGGTCCTGCATTACTGCTCTGCCACAGTCCTCAGGCAAGTTATTTATGTCAGTTCCTACTCACCACACATAGGTATTTTTGACAGTAGGGTAAATAAGAGCAATGAGCTCTATATTTCTCATAACTTACTACTAAACCTAATCTGCAAGATCTCACGCCTGATAAATAATTGTAGATTATAGATTCTGTATGCTTTCTCTGTATAGATTTTATGAAATCATATTCTGTATAACAGAATAAACATTCTTCTAGTTTGGAAAAGCAAAGTTTTAAGCAACTTTGAAAATCCCAAACCTCCCGGAGTGACTTCTGAATGACCATGCTCCTCAAAGCTTTACTATGCCATATGAAATTCTAGGCTTACCGATTTCAGAAGAGTTCTCTAAAAGAAACACTCGATCCACTTGCAGCTTACTGCCCAGTCATTCTCCCTTCCATCTCTTTCCTAGTCCTGACTATTCTCTTGATGAGCACTTTGACCATATCAAACTAAGATGAGGATTTAATACTCCCAAATGGCACAATTCAGACAGCAGAAGAGCAGTGACATTTCAGAATACTATGTCAAGCCCTTTTATAGTACCTTTGTTCAGCACATCCAGAAAAACCAAGGTGTGCAACTGGTTAAAAAGGAGACATGAAGAACAATGAAAGGGGCTACATAAAGATCTAATCTACACAAAAAAACAGGACAAACTGCAGAGGCAAAACACAGTAAGAGAACTTTGTAAGTGGAAGCTATCACCTGCACAACACAAGACAGCTCTAGGACCACAAGCAGATCACCTTTCGTGGTGTCTCTACATACAGAATCTACACAGTCTTTAAGAAAAAGACATAGCCTTATGCAGTTTCCAGAAAAAAAAAAAACAACTATGTTTTAACTCTGCATATGTGTGCAGACTTGTTTAAGCAGACATATGAATTCGTAAAGTTTCTAGAAGCCAACTCCACGGATTGACAGCTAAGTTTTTCAGAGCAACTGGTGTTATTTCCTATGCTGTGAGAAGCACATAGAACACTTCAGATACTGAGTAACTGGGAATTTAACATGCTTCATTTAGCTCTACACCTCTACTGACTGACAAAACACAAAAGCCATTAAAATAAAGTGCAGAAACACAACTGTGCAAAGAAAGGGCAAAACTTTGCGTATCTTGTTATTTCTTGGTCTTTGTCACCAGCTTAGATTGGTTTAATTTTGCCTTTTTTTTTGTCGGTGGGGGGGGGGGGGGGGGGGGGGGGGGGGAGGGGGACACAAAACAAGTGGCATCTGAAAAATTGAGAGCATCTTTGAATTAAAGATAGGCACGTGTCAATAAAATGAGCTTTCACTGCTGGGTGGGAAAGCAGACACTGACTGAACCCCCTCCCTCAAACTACTGTGCTTTACCGTTAGCTTGCATTTTGGCTCCATATGCAAATAACTTGTTTTCTTCTTCAGGTACTGAAGGAAAGCACGCACTCACAGAACAGGCAGCACTTTAAGCACTTATAAAACAAGTTGAGAGAGAAGCTACTCTTCTCCTAGAGACACTCCGTCCCAGAAGACACAGCTTGATAAGCCAAAAAGCCTCCTCTTCCAGACTCCTTTCTTAAACAGTTTTAGAGGGAGAAACCAGGAGACCTACATACACACAGGAGACAGGATACCCAAATACTGCTTCAGACTCACTACCTCCATCCTAAGCTAGACTGTTCACCCATCAGTACAGGTAGATTTAAGGAATAAGAGAAATGCTTATTCATGCATCAAGCTGGGCCCTGAGATGTGTTCAACAAGCCAGCTGGACCAAGCAAGCTATACCATGCACACTGACACACAAGATAAGACCACGAGACACATGCCATCCCTAGCACCTCTGTTAAAACAATAAACCACACACACACGAAACACAAACCAATCTTTACCTACAAAAAAAAGCTCTGTAACCAATGAACTAGTTTAACATGAGGGAAATTAAAAAGCAGGAATTCAGCTACTGTCTCTTGTCCCTCTCAGTTTCTAGAAAAAATAATACAGCCTGACAAACACAGCATGAAACAACAGACCACCACTTGCCTGTAAAAGGACTACTAGAGGACTAGAAGCCAAAAAAAAAGTTCTGTTCTTGCTGCATGGATGCAACATGAGCTATTATTAACCTGCTCTAAATATCACAAATGAAATAACCAGAGCTGCGTTGCATAGCACAGAATTCTCCTTGACAGCAACTCAGATGGTAAACATGTAAGGGAATTCTCCACATCTTCTGACCTTTTCTTCTACTTATCACACCGCTTTGTTTTTAAAAGGGAGACACTGTCAAAGCACAGCAGGTCATCTATTTTTTCCCCCTCTTGAATAAGACTGGACAACATACAACTGTTTATTCTAAGCATATCTTACTCAAGGTTATCAAGGTCATTGCTAACTAACAGCAAAGAAAAAGCATTTACGAAACGCAGAAATAGGTCTCCTGGTCTAAGAGCAAGCAGACTGGTATGCCCGTGAACTGCAGCTAAACTTTTCCTTCTGATGATATACGAAAGAGAGACAAGTTCTTATTACATGGCAGAGAAATGCAAGGCCACCAAAATTCTGTTTAAATGCCGATCTGCTTTCAGCCTTTAACTCAAAGCAATTTCTGAATCCTTTCAAAAGTCTTTTACTGAGCTACTACTGGCTTTGGCCAGTATCCTTCTGCACCCAGTACTAAGAATTGTTTTGCACATGCTCAAAGAATACACCCCAGTTCAGTGAAGCAATCTCATTTAAAGACAAGCAACTCAGGAACTAAAGTTTAGTAGTCCTTAGGTTAATTCTTTTTAGAAAAACAATACTCTAGGTTATTGAAAGAAGAATCTTTTATAGGTTAAAAAAAAGTGAGAGGATAAACACTAAGTAAAAGAGTCCGCTGCATTTCTATTAAGAGTAGCTTTCCAACTTTGTTATTCTTCATAAAGCTGAGCACAAAGTTTGGATTTTCGTTGCACGGCGGGAATGGAGAGAAGTTCCCCACCTACATTCCTGCTGGGTGGGACATGAGTGCGCCAGGGTATCAGAAATAGGATTATTTCATAACAGACAGTTCTGCAGGTATCGGGATGGTCAGTAACCATGAAAGCAACATTATACAAGCCAAACTTTTATATCTGTAGTTATTTATAGGTAGTTTGCTCAGTGCCTGTTTAAAACTAAGTACCTCCCCATTAATTCCTGTTGACTTTGTTACAAAGATTCTACAAGCCTGTTAGCTTGTGAAAAGTATGGTTATTTCCTCGGGTGCCTTACCAGAGTAGGGTCTCATGGCTTCTTTCCCCCCATTTCAGCTACAAGCAAGCTCAAAAACAGCCAACAGATTTATTTTACGTCCATCTTCAACCAGACGCACAGAACGGTCCCAGTGACAGAGAGAAGTGCGATTCTAAACCAGAGCAGCCTGGAAAGCCAACACACGCACACAGCGCAGGACAAGGCTCTGCATTTTCTTCTGCAATGTCCGTGGCAAGAACTATTCCCTACCGAGCGGAAAAGTAGATTCCACCCTTTGTCCTAAGCAATTTTAGGTTAAATATATAGAATATCCCGCGCACCTGCTCGGGTGAGCAGAGAGCCACCATCCCCTCTCCGAAGGATGGGATGGCTAAGCGCAGAGTCCCCCCTGCGGCACAGGAGGAGGAACACAGACGGGTCCCCGTTGTCACCCCGAGCTGACAGGCTGCAGCAGGCGGCAGCAGCGCGGCCGGACCCAGCCGTTGCACAAGGCCTGGATCGCACGCCACCCGCGTTGGGCAACCGGGCACAGTTACAAGCGCCCCAGCGTGCCCCGTACCGCTCGGTCAGTCGCCAGGGCGGCCCTGCTTACCGGCTCCCCGCCTCCCCAGCCCCC